AGCGCTAAATCTAATTCCCAAAGCGCTAAAATGGCAGTACTGATTTTGCGTATATTATAAATAAAATATCACGACATTTCGTTGCAAAATTTTTATTTTTGGTTGGGTTCCGTTGTATGGCTTCGATGGATACAAATTTCTTCAGTAAGTCTCAATACGATTCATCGGCGAAAAATCTCAACACAGCAATTCAGAAAAGTTTGTAATTTGTACAACTCCATCTATTACGTCCTTTGGGTGAGAAAACATCCTTTTTAAATCTCTTTTTGTGTTTTAAGTATATTAATTATTATGGAACGTTTTTTTACACACAAATCTTTTTATTACTATTTCTGAGATTTTATGGCGCCATTGAACAAATTCGAACCTACATTTCAAAATAATAATCATTACTTTCGATAGAATTAACCAATTTTTATAAAACAAAGATTAAATGTAACTCGAAGATACGCTTTATGATTTTCTTAACGATTTCTTTGAAAATAAAAGATGTTTACTTTAGACGTGATGCGTTCATATAATAACAGACAAATAGACAGACAGACAATTCTAAAAATTGTAAAATGTTCTTATTTAATTATTTTCAGTTCCCCATAATGATTTTAGCCACCAAAATATATATACAATGTACAGAAAGAGACACAACATGTTATCATCATTTTTATTATATGTATATATTTAAAGAGAGATGGCGCTGCTAACATCAATTCTAAAAATAAAAGAGATTAATTGACGCGATTGATACATTATATAAAACGCAAGAGAACTTATAAATCAGTGCCTGCACAGTAAGCAAAAAATAAAGTTTGACTCTCGCCAAAACCAACGCAATTGTTAATAGCTCTTTTAAAATTTGATTTACCACATAGAGTACTCGGCGGTAAAGAATAAATTGAGTTTGTCAACACGCAGTAGGGCAGCGAGTAATATAATAAAGATTAGCAGTAAATATGAAAACTCATCTACCGGAAAAAACCACATTTGCAATTGCAATACATTTTCACAACACCACCATCTATCGAAGAAATGGGTTAACTATTGTGCTTCAGATTTAGTTAATAAGGTTAATATATTTTTGTATAATATATTTAATACGTTCTTTAATACTTCTGTTTACTGCGTTTTAGATATACATAATTATATCATTATTTTACATAATTTTACTATGATTTATGATATGATATTAGTTTAAAATGCACTTGATGACTCAAACAAAGCCACCGTTGAGCAAATTCGTACCTATACTTCCCTACCCATACTTCAGAATATTTATCATAACTTTTGATGGAATGAACTGATTTTAATGAAATAAAGACTAAATGTAACCCGAAGATACACTTTATAATTTCCTTAACAATTCTTATGATATAAATTAGTACTTTATACGTGATACGTTAACAAACAAACAGACAGACAGACAGACAGACAGACAGACAGACAGAAAATTCTAAAAATGGTAGAAATGTATTTAATTACTTATTTTTAGTACCCCTCAATCACTTTTATTACAAAAATATAAAATGTACAGACATCTGCTATTTACAGTTTTATTATATGTATAGAAGATAGATGGAACTCGACTTATCTATGACAATATGACGTGTATATTTATTTAGTATATATTTATGCCAAGATGTCAAAAATCACAGTCACCATTCTTTTTATGAATATGTATGTATTAGATATTTTTTTATTTTGTTTTTTTTTTAAGAAAACCGTTACCTCCACACTAGGATTTTCTCCTGTGTCATGGAGGCAGTTTACAAACATAAATTGTACGATGACAAACATCCAGACCCGGAACAATTATTTGTAGGCCATACTAATATTTGTTCCGTGCGGGATTCGAACCCGCGGCCCCCAGCGCAACAACTCATCGCTAAGCCACTGCGCCACGGAGCCGTCAAGTATAATATATGTGGAGGCAGTTCCATAAGTCAGTGATTATTTGAATTTTTCGCGCAGTAACTTTAATGGCACCACTGCTATCGTCAACTGCCCTCTATTAATAGACTACTATCAATATTTGAGCAAGCTGTGTTATTGCACTTGTGTTTACAGCCATTGAAAGCAGATACCCTCGTGAATTTTAACGGAAATGGGAAAAACTGAATTTCGAGTGCCGATAAAGCATTATTATTTTTTGCGTAAAAAAACCATCACCGAAACCAAGGAAGGCTCAATAAATATCATGCAGACTCTGCGCCATCAATTACATTGGTTAAGAAGTAGTTTACGAAAAAATTCATGGAATGATATTGGACGTTAGGAGAATGAAAGTGCGTGAAGTTGACTGAGGCGGTAGGCATTTCAACTGAGGGGAGTACATCAAATGTGATGACATTTGATGTACTCCCCTCAGTTGAACATGAGTTTTTGGACATCAAAAAGCTATCCACTCGATGGGTGCTGCGACTGCTCACATTCGACCATAAGCGCAACCGTGTGACAATTTCAAAGGGGTGTTTAGCTTCAAAGGAGTTCGTACCTACGTACCAATCGTAAAGAATATAATATCATATATGAGGAGTAAAAATACCAAAATATGAGGCAATCTGTGGGAAAGGCCTACGTTCAGAAATAGACCTTTGATATTGCTGTGATTAATGAATAAATAGAAAAAAAAACATTAATAATTTTTTTCCCGACAGCCAATTATCAAAACTCATTTGGTTGTAAGATCGGTTATTAAAAGTAAAAGTACTCAATTTTTTTAATAATAAGTTATATTAGAAACTTAATCAGATAATTATGCATTAAGCTTCGAATGGAATTAGGTTGGAGATAACATCATTTCTTCTCAAAATATGCGAGATGAAAATGTTCATTAGCAACGAACGTAGGTATTACGTGGAGAGTCTATTGAAGTTTGAAGTTTCAAAATATCAAAACAATTTAAACAACTTCCACATAAGTGTAGGGGATACTGGCTGGCTAAGCAAACATCTGCGGGATGAGATAGGGGCATCCTTTACCAACAATATGCATAACAATTTGTTTGTCTGTTTGGACTCAGAGATTGCAAGCTACATGCTACTATACTGCATTCGTAAACACTGAAATGCTAATGAATGTTAATAATCTTACGTTTTTACTCTTTTACCTTCTCTTACGAACTTATTTTTTTTTATTTTATATAATAAGGGTGATAAACATACTAAAAGCATACTATCCATCTGATGGTAAGTGGATGCTGTGGCCCATAGACATATACATCTATCCTCGATTAAAAGCCGACCCATTCGCGCTACAACCATAGTAAAGATGCAGCAAGACTATACCACGAAGTGCATAATACGAGGGTGGATTGAAAAGTACTCGGCCTAACACAGATCCATTCAATTCTAAAAATCAAATCTACCCACATTATTTAGTTCAGTTCAGACTAGTTCATTGTGTGAAGTTCGAAACGTGTGCGATAATTAGTTGTGATTTTATAAATTTATTAACAAAGTAATCGGACATAATTTCCGCGAATGGAGCAAATCGAGCAGCGTGCCGTCATTAAGTACCTCCATAAGAAGGGGCTATCATCAAAAGCCATCCATGATGACATGGTCAGTACATTAGGCGATTGTGCTCTGTCATATTCATCCGTCAAAAAATGGATAGCAGAATTTAAGCGTGGTAGAGAGAGTGTGAAAGATGAACCCCGCTCTGGAAGGCCTTCGACGTCAACTACTGACGAAAATATTAAAAAAGTACTTGATTTAATAATGGGAGACCGCAGATTAAAAATTAGAGAGATAGCCGAGATTATAGGCATCTCTTATGAACGAACTCAAAACATCATTGTCAACGAGTTGGGTTTCCACAAGGTGTCTGCGAGGTGGGTTCCGCGACTGCTTTCAGTTGAACAAAAAAGGACGCGATTGACTATTTCACGCGACTGTTTGGAGTTATTTGAAGCCGATGCAGATGATTTTTTGAATCGTTTTGTTACTATAGACGAAACATGGGTTCATTACTGTACACCGGAAACAAAACAACAATCAAAACAGTGGAGAAGACCTGGTTCACCACCCCCTAAAAAGGCTAAGTCGATTTTGTCGGCAAATAAGGCTTCAGTATTCTGGGACTCGAAAGGTGTGATTATGATTGATTATCTTGAAAGGGGTCAGAATATAAACTCTGATTACTACTGCACCTTACTACGTCGTTTACGAGAGGAAATAAAAGAAAAACGTCGAGGAATGTTCAGAAGAAAAGTCCTGTTTCATCAAGATAACGCCCGTGTTCACACGTCAGTACAGTCAATGGCTGAAATTCACAACTGTGGCTTTGAACTGTTACCGCATCCGCCGTATTCACCTGATCTGGCACCATCAGACTTCTTTCTGTTCCCTAACCTAAAAAAGCACTTGGGAGGTCAAAGATTTTCGACAAACGACGAGGTCAAAGCAGCTGTAGACGCATATTTTGACTCTAAGGAAGAATCATTTTTTTTCAACGGTCTAAATGCTTGGAAGGGGAGGTGGCAAAAGTGTATTGAACTTGATGGTGATTATGTAGAAAAATAAAAATATAACTGATTTAGTATTTGTTTATTTTCTTGGTTAGGCCGAGTACTTTTCAATCCACCCTCGTATATAACCGTATATATACTTGTTACGCAGATAGTCACAAAGTGTCATCATCGCTGAGAAGTTGCGATTTCATTAAGAGTTTTTCGATTTCTAGAGTATGTACATATATTCACAAAACAATCTTCAAAAAAAAACTTTTTCAATTCTTATACTTTTAGGAATACCCGTAGTTTTTTTTTATCCATTTCTAATATAACACACATAAAATATAAGTAATATTTCAGAAAGAAACATTAATCTCTACACTTTTCTAACAAATTTACTTCTGTCGCTATGAAATCTGTCAAATATTTCACCTTTAAGTAGCGCCGCCCTGGTGGCAGTAAAAGTTGTTGATCATTGAATGACCTTTGCCCAACAATGGGACATTAAAGGCATTTCAACTGTATGATAATGAAGTAATTAATGTTTCAGGGCATTCTGCTGAGCTGCAACGCGATGTCAGCGGAATACTTGTTCATGACAGACAAGATCTATGACCCTCGGTTCGACACCGGCGACAAAGTAATCCAGTGCGGCCGCCATAACGACATCTTCAAGCTGTGGCTGCAGTGGAGAGGAAAGGTGAGCCGTGTTTTTTACATCATAATTTTGCTGTAACCGACCTAATTTGCAAAGAAGGTTCAGAATAAATAATAAAGGCAAATTTAGAAGAAAAATTAATTCAAAAAATCTCAAACATTCTGTCCTTTTTATATTTTAAATTTTAAACGCGTGGTAATGCATTACTTTAACTGATTTTACTGCACACGCACACATTTGTAAGGGTCGATGGGTAGGCAAAAACTTTGTTGCCCATAAATCACATTCAATTACGGATAATTTCAAATAAAAGTAGAAGCCTTATTTACTGCATTAACGGTACATATACCTATATATTTATTTATATAATTGAACTTAAGTTTTTTTTTGTTAATTTGGCTACTCTTTGAAAAATTACTATATAAGTATATAATAACTAATAAGTATATAATGGTCTGGAGGGCATTATTATCAAATAGTCTCCTGCGGCCTTTTCTCAAAAGTTCTCTATCCCGCACAGTAGGGACCCGTTGAGGCGATGACGTAACCTGATCGAATATCAAAAAGTGCTTTATAATGGTCGATTCTGAAAATATATACTATATACTTTGACTTTCTATTCAGAAGTGAGAGGGGGCCTTCACCCAGCAGTGGGTCGTATATAGGCTGTAACTTTTACTTTAACTTATCTATAGGGAACGTCGGGTTTCGAGCAGCTGATGGACCGCTTAATGGAGCTATCGGAGTACATGGTGCGGCGCATCCGCGAACAGTCGGACAAGTTCTACCTGCTGTTGGAGCCCGAGATGGTGAACGTGTCGTTCTGGTACCTGCCGCGCCAGCTGCGAGGCTTGCCGCACAACCGCGACAAGGAGATCAAGCTTGGCAAGGTTAGTATATTTGAAATGTGAGCATTACGTAATATTAACTTATTTTACTCGGGCATTTAAATGACTTTTGATAATAATGAAGCCGCTCAGAGTTTTTGTATCGATAGTGTTTTGGTCAATTAGTCGTTGGTTTGTTGATTACACTTTGGGTTTGACACAAAACTGAAAAGTTAGTAAGTTGTCATTATGGCCACAGCCATAATATAAGAAGTAATATTTTTATTTCGTCACATCCTTACCTCCAGTGGAGTAGAAACGTAGCGGGGTAGCCATGACCCTGGACGATAGATGTTAGAGGGCGGAATTTTGGGAATTAAATTTAGGAAAAAATTTTAAAAAATACTTCACAAATTCACCTCAAAAATGACTCGATCGATTTTGATGACTTTTTTTGTGTGTATGAGTTTTTGAACCATCCAGGGACGGTTCAAATACTTAATTGGTACAAAAATAAATAATAAATAATTATAGAATTTGTAATAGGAGTTTCCTTACAACAAAATCTTAACTTTTTGCGTAGGATTGAGAAGGCAAATAATTTACATACCGAATAATAGATAGATATACATATATGATATATTAATTTTAAATAACTATTTATGGTATTACTATTATATAAATACAAATGTCCGCTTTTTATTTAAAAAGAAATTTTATGTTGCATTGTGATTGACTTCATTTATATGCTGTTTATGTTGAAACAATATAACTAATTTTAATTTTTTTAATTACTATTATTGTTTTCTTAATATAATAAAAATAATTAAATAACCTATTTAATTAAAAAGTTAAAAGATTCATTATGTCAACGTTTTATTAGAGTTCATTTAAAGCATAAAGTACCCAATAAAGATAATGATAATGATGACCCAATAAAGTACCTATTTGAGTAAATTTGCAGTCAATTTTTAGAATAGAATAGAGTTATTAATAAATGTTTATACAATTATATTATTAGGTACTTAATAATTACTGAAAGTAATTTTTTTTTATTTACCACTGGTTCGGAAAATATCTCTGTCCTGGGAAGAACCAGCAAGAAACCCGGGATTATATTTTTTATACATATATCATCACTAGGAACAAACACAAGCTAGTAATACCAGTTTCTCGACTCCACAGAGTCAGTAATTCATTCTTGGGGCAATGTATACGCTATTACAACAAGGTCCCGGAAAGTGTACAGGTTCTCTCTATTACCAAGTTTAAATGTTTTATTAAGCTGAAACTGTATAAAAAGGGTTATTATAGTATAAATGAATACATGGTTGATAATAACCCCTGGGAATGAGGTGATCGCTTCCAAGCAGTTTCTAAAATAAATTTTGTAAATAGTTCGTAATCATTTATATTGCAAAATTTATTTTAAAAAAAAAGTCCCGCTGGGTTTCTTGCTGGTTCTTCCCAGGACAGAGGGTTTTTTCGAACCAGTGGTAAAGTAAAAAATGACTTTCAATAAGAATTACACATGTAATGTATATTGAATAAAAAATATTCTATTCTATTCTATTCTATTTCATCATCACCATTACAGCCCTTCACAAGTCCACTGCTGAACATAGGCCTCCCCCAAGGAATGCCACAAAGCACGGTCCTCAGGCACCTGCATCCATCGACTTCCTGCATATCTTACCAGGTCGTCACTCCATCTAGTGGGGGGACGCCCTACACTTCGTCCGCCGGTACGAGGCCGCCACTCGAGAACCTTGTTTCCCCATCGGTTGTCGGTTCTTCGAGCTATATGGCCAGCCCATTGCCACTTCAGCTTACTAATCCGTTGAGCTATGTCGGTCACTCTGGTTCTACTGCGGATATCCTCATTTCTAAGTTTATCACGCAGAGAAACTCCGAGCATAGCCCTCTCCATAGCTCGCTGAGCGACCTTAAGGTTCCTCATCCGGCCAGCAGTGAAGGACCACGTCTCAGTTCCATAGGTGATCACTGGCAAGACGCAATGGTTGTACAGTCTCGTTTTCAAGTTTTGAGGTTTACCTGACGAGAAGATGTGCCGTAATTTCCCGAACGCTGCCCAACCGAGTTGAATCCGTCGATTGACCTCTCGGTCGAAGTTGGACTTACCTAGTCGGACTATTTGTCCCAGGTAAACATACTCGTCAACAACTTCGAGCTCAGTGCTCCCAATAACTACTGGTATAGGTGTGACATGGACATTAAACATGATCTTTGTTTTGTACATCTTCATCTTAAGACCTATCCGTTGGGAAACACTATTGAGGTCATTGAGCATAGTGCTTAGGTCCTCCAGCGATTCTGCCATAAGGACTATATCGTCGGTAAATCGAAGGTGAGTGATGTACTCGCCATTGATGTTAATACCGTATCTTTTCCAGTCTAGAAGCTTGAAAACATCTTCCAATGCAGCGGTGAAGAGTTTCGGGGATATAACGTCACCCTGTCTTACACCTCTCTGCAATTGGATAGGTCTCGTACTCTGGTTCTGTACTCGGATAGCCATCGTAGCCCTACTATACAAACACTTCAGCACTTCGATATACCGACAGTCAACTTGGCATCGCTGAAGGGACTGCAGTACCGCCTAAATTTCGACGGAATCAAAGACTTTCTCATAGTCCACATACGCCAGACAGTGGCAAATTGTACTCCTTGGACTTCTGTACAATTTGCCGAAGGGTATGTGGTCTATGATGCTAAAGCCTTTTCGGAAACCGGAAACCGGCTTGTTCGGGAGGCTGGAAGTCGTTAAGTCTGCGTGTGAGACGATTCGTAATGACTCTCGAAAACAGCACGTAGACGCGGCTCAGAAGTGAAATCGGTCTGTAGTTCTTCAAGAGTGAAGAATAAGACCACCGCACTTCTGCTCCATGCCTCCGGTGTAATGCCACCATTGAGGACGGAATTAAATTACATATATATGTACATAATATTACATATGTAAAGTTATATAATATATATAACTTTACAATAATTTGGTACTTGCATTTATTTTTATTAATTTTAATTAGACCAGCATGGTGGCAACAAGGAGACCAAGGGATTATTTTCATTCATAATACAATAACCTTTTCGTACAATTTTTTGTAATAAAACATTTAAACTTGTTGATAGACAAACTTTAAACATTTTCTGGCATTTTGTTGTAAGAGCGTATACATTGCCCCATAAATGATATAGGTACCTAATTTATATTATCATAACCTATGTTAGGTGTAAAGCTTAAGTGTAACGATGACAATCCTACAGGTGTGCGCCAAGTTGAAAGGGCGGATGATGCAAGCGGGCACGGTGATGGTGGGCTACCAGCCGGACGACCGGCGGCCCAACTTCTTCCGGAACATCATCTCCTCGGCCGCGGTCACCGAGCGCGACGTCGACTTCTTGCTCGCCGAGATGGACCGCCTTGGACACGACATCGTCGTTGACTAGATGCATCACTAGAAACTTTATAATCTGTATTTTCGGTTTTATTTTTAATTTTGTTTTTTTAATGCATTTAACATAAAATATGCACGAAATTGCACCATTTATGTTTTATAATTATACAACATATTTTTTTTAACTCTTAACGATCTCTAACAATCACTTTCACGCACTAGCTACATAACACATTATGGGTACCCACACATTTAATTTTGCCACATTACTTACATTATAATTTATTAATTTATTTCAAATAATTTAAACCATTATAAGTTTATTTGAATATAATAAATTACAATGTAAATTTAATTGAATTCCATTTAAGTTTACGAGTATAATGGATTTTAATATTGTCTGTGCATAAAGTATGGAAGGGAATAGCTCCTACATACAGGATTTCTAAGTTCACGAGTTAGGGTTCAACGAAAACTTGTTGATTTATTTGTTTTAGAAAAAAAAATCCCAGTTTATTTTTGATATATTGTTTTTTGTGTTCACATTTTTTGATCAATATATTTAAATTTCATTTCTTTGTATGTAATATTGCCTAATAAGGATTTTATATCCTAACGAAACTTACTTCGACTGTCGGTAGAATGTTGATTATAAAAGAATATTTTTTAAATCCTTTGCAGTATTTTCGTAATTGGCTTTAGGTTAAAATAAAACGTAGATTTTAAACGTATTCGGGGATCAATTTCATCCCAAATCTTTACAATGACATTTTTATAGTAATGTTACTAATATTTAAAAAAAAACAAGTGTTGCTATAACTTCAACTACATTTAATAGTGCTCAGTCGATTTCACAAAGTTCTCTCTACAACATTGTTTAAATTATATATTATAAATTTCGTTTTCCCTTTTAAAATTAGTTTTGCCATAATCACGAATTCAGTCAGTTTTTCGCCAAAGAGTAGCCGTCTAATATTCTATAATATAGAATATTATTATAATATTATAATATATTGTCAGTTTATGTATAAGGTTCTCGTATAACTATCTATATTGACTTTGGAAATATATGTGTATATGTTATCTCATTTAACGTTTTACATTGCTTAGTACTTGCAAATAAATATTTATCTAGGTACATACATTAAGAATGCCTACGCCCTATTCCTACACAAGCTTTGTAAAACGTTCATATATAACTATTTAAACGGAAGAAGTATATTTAGTAAATGTCTAGGAGTAAGGCATATAATTTAATTACTATTAAGAAAATTTAATATTATATTGAATAAATACTATCTTCCCTAAATTAATTCGTTAAAAACCAAAAAAATATATTGTTTATTAAATTCGTTAGACCTAATAATAGGATCATTTATATGAAATATAATCTTTATTTCTTTCTATGATAGGTTATTTTGAAACAAATAATATATGTGTAGTAAGTAAATTATCATTAAGATTAAAGTATAACAAACATAAATAAAATGTGTGTCTGTTTGTGTGCATGTCTGTGTGTGATTATATGAAAATAAATTGTATTTTCGTATAACTTTTCAATTTACTAGGTGGTTAGAGCACAAAGTGAATTGAAAGGTTACACTTGTTATAGAAACCTTGTTTTATAACGGTAGAAATTGAAAAAAAAATGAGGCTTGTCACTGGCATTTTTAATTTCCTGCGCGAAAAATAGATTTCAGTTGTATAATTTTTTAATTTTTTTTTTTGTACTTTGGGTTTATCGCGTCGACCTCTCAACGTTATTTTAATATACTTATGGTTAACGATTATATCAATATAATACGCGGCTATGGGGTGGCCCAAAAGCCATCTCAGCAGCACCTCAACCTACTATTACTGATATTGCAACATTGGTGTAATGTTTTATTTTTATTTGGTTTACGAGCGTTGAGAGGTCGACGGGAAAATCCCAAAGTACCTTTTCTAACAAAAAAAATGCGCAGTAATTAATACAATGAGATGAAGAGCTAGATTGCTTGCCGTGTTTATCTTCTAGGTGGTAGAAATCATTTTCTATCGTTACCACACTCTTAAATATTTCTACGGGCAAGTAATAATGCGTGCACTGCTGTATTCTAGTCTGAAGTCGGTGAAGCTTAGCCAATGCGATATCAGGCCATGGGGCATTCCATCATAGTCCTCAGAGGTGACAGCGCATCTGTGGCCTTCTTTGTTTGAAGTTGGATGGTGGTGTTTATAAACTGTAGTGATAACTAACCACCAGGTGGACCGTAAGATCCTTTGACATTTTAGTCTTATAAAAAAATCTAACTTATATTTTTATGTACTTATACAAGATTATTATATAACAAATATTATAATTTATACACTTTTCAAAATGTCACAAAGATCTTCAATGATTTTTGAGCATCATGGTAGATCTATCTCTCTGTCTATCTCTCATACATAGATTTAAACAATTTTTTTAACAAATATTTTTTTTATTATTTGATTGTTATATCTGACGGAGGATCCTATATTAATCAAGTAACTGCGTATATATTTTTCCATCTACGTATAAAAACTGTATTAAAATATTTAAAAAATGTTGCCATATTTCAGATATTTAACGGAAATTAAACATAATTAAATAATTTAATTTTTCTGAAAAGTATAATGGCATATATTGGTTAGAAAGTAATGTACCTAACTATTATATTTTAGCCTATGAGTTAAACGAATAGGCTATATTATAATAATTAATTTTCATCACTATAGTTACAAATTTTGTTTATATTCATAATTTTGGCTCCAAATCAGGCGGGAAAATTGTATCAAATTATGTACTTAATTTTAAATAAAACGTAATAACTCAAGAACTATGCATTCGATTCTCAAACGGTTTATTATTTTGTGTTCAGAAACCCTTCGTCTATCCAAATATCCATTCATATCATATCGATCAAAATCCGAATATCCATTGAACATTGAGTTATATGTACTACGTACTAGAGAAGCCATTCCAAACAAAAATTGTGTCCTACTCTATGTCTTCGCGCATGCGCGGGAGTAGTAGTCGCGCATGAAGACTTCAATTTAATATAAAATAAGATATTAATATAAAATAAATATAAGAATTTAATATAATATATCTTAATTTAATCTAAACAAACATTTGTAAATAAAATGTAATAATTATTATTTTATGGAATTCACAAATCTTCAATTTACGCAATATTTAGTTTGTATGGATTGCACTACAGTTTAGTTGAACATAGTCAATGTTCGGAATGGCTTCTCTAGTACGTAGTACATATAACTCAATGCCATTGAAGTAATATGTATTATTATACTTCAATGGATATATCTCGAATTTTAATATATCGAACATAATACGAGATATACCCCGTACAAAATAATACGAAAAGCTAATTTAACCGTGTGAATGATATTTTAAATATTTTTTTTTAATAACAAATATAATAAAACATGTTATTTTGTTGCAAAATATAACGTGTTAGCAAAATTATAGACACTCAATTATTTTAAAGTATTAGTAGTAATTAGAACAAAGATTACATTAAGCGCTGGTCGTAAAATTCACAGTACGCGTACTGGATTCGATCCCCGCCTACACCAATGAAATTGTTAATTGCAGTTATATGTGGTGATTTGCCTTTCTCGCCGGTGAAGTAAGATATTGTGGGAAAACTTGCATGGCGCTAACATGCACTGGGGCAGCGCGGCAATTTGCCCCATTACCCTCTCAGAAATAAGAGGAGACCTGCGTCCAACTGTGGGACTTATGATACCTTTAAACCTTATCATTACTTTACTTTGCTTTAGGATAAGGACTAGCATAAGGATCTATGTAAATTTAAAACAAAACGTGACAATGACAATAGAAACTGTAGCGTTAGTATATGCGAAGTGTTATATTATATCTGTGAGTGTTGTAATAAAAAAAAAATAGGTGTAGTAACTATACCAAAAGGAATAAATTATGCGATGTTGTAGTGTATTTAATACACACCAATAAATTATTTATTTTTTATTTAAATATGGTTTTAGTATAACGGTTCATTGTCGTTAATACTAATAATTTTAGTATATAAAAATTATAGACGAAAATGTAGATGGTATAAATAATTTTGAAATTCGAATGAAACTATCTGTCAAATTATAAACAATAATATGTAAATATGTAGTTTGTTTATTAGTAATTTTGCTTGTGTTGTGAATCATATCTATAGTTTGCGTACCTGTCTCTACATTTTTATTGCAGTTTAAAGATTTTATTTTAAAACTTACAGCGCATAGCGCTGAAAGTTAATAATAGGTTTAATTATAACGGCGCCATTTATTGTTTTACAAATTTTGTAATTATGTAGTACAATAGATGGCGCTGTGAACAACGAACTAAATAATGCTTTTTAATTAAGTTAATAGTGGGATTTCACTATGTGATGTCAAATGGTTTTAAATAAAATAAAATGATTAAAAATAATTTAAATATGTAATATATTTTCATTGTCAATATAGGTCAAATATATGCTATAAATAATTGATGTAATCAAAGTCTTCCAAGATGTCTTCCGTGATTTAACAATAAAATTCATGTTAAAATAGTAGAAACGTTATTTGTTGTGTTCTAAATCTTAATAAATTTATTGAAATATGTATTGAATAGAGTTTTGAAAATTTTTAGTGTTTAGATGCGATATTACCGTCAACAGTTTTTGATCACTTATAATGTGAATACTTAGCCAAAATTATCTATAATTGTTGCTAAATGTAAAAACCTGTATAACCAAATAAATGGTATTGTTGTTAGTTATTGTGTTTTATTCGGTATACTTATTACCACCTTATTGTCACCCTATCCTATAAAAAACAACCCTTATCCTATAAAACCCTAATCCTATAAAAAAAACCTTTTTTTATAGGATAAGGGTGACAAACGAGCACACAGTCCACCTGATGGTGAGTCGTTGCTGTAGCCCATAGACAACTACATCTATCCTCGATTACGAATCAAATTGCAGATGCGTTGTCACCCGTGTGGACTAAGATGGAATGCTTCTTTTCTAG